GTCACACCAGCAGTTCATGATATCTCAACCCCAGTATATGACGAGCAACGGTCCGGTCCCTCATTGCGATCCCTATTTCTTCCCCACCGCTAATGGTGTGGAAAAGCAGCCCAAGTGGTGATCAAAAGACTTAATATTATCTATTTATAATAGGAATTACAATATTGTTTTAATTTAATGATTATATTTTACTTAATTTATTGTAAAAAGTGCAATACTGTTTGTAATTTATTAATAAAAATTGACAATTTTTTAAGTAAATAGTTAATTTTGTTTCAAATGAACTATGCAATTCAGTGCCAGTCCCTTGGTTTTATCTATATAAATATTTAGGCCTAAGGAATTAAACAAATATTACATTATGAAAGTAATATTCAGCAATTTTTGCACAAGAATTAATTGTTTTACTCTTGTACAAGGGTTTACTAATGTATTAGTTAGTGTTAGTACAGTAGGTGTATTATTTATATAATAGAATCAGGTAAAATTGCAATAAGGTTAATTTGCATGATTTGCTATGTAATCCTTTTAAACGTTTTGTGATTTAAGTACTTACAAAATATATGGTAACTATTATGTATTATATCGTTTAAATGTCGTTGACTATAGTGTATGAATTATAGTCAATATATTCAGTAATTGTCTATTAAAACAATTATGAAAATATTTACTCTATTTCAACACATTGAGGTAAATTTAGATAATTGAAACAATAGTACAGTAGATTATCAGTATATTATTTATAAACAAAAATTTTTTTTTATAAATGTTTGAATTATTGAAACAAATTTTCTTATAATATGCACAATTATTTTAAAATTTAATACAATAATGCACAAAGTAATAATATTTTTACTTATTTTTCTAGGTATAATTATTTTTAAAGTGGTAAATTATGAATCATACTTGTTTGTCCATTATCTGAAATAACCTTTATGTTTATCAGATACCGCATGAGAGCATTAATTGAGTTTAAAAGCATATACTATATTATTTAATGATTAATTTGTTACACAACAAGCAATTCTCTCCTCAAATATGGAGTCGAGAATATTGTTAACAATTATTATATTTTTAAATATTTATGCAATTGTTTTGAGTGACAATTCAGACAAAACTCAATCAAACAGTACATCAAAAGAGGATAAATTAAAGTATGGTCATTATTATCCAACAGATTATATGACCCAACAATTAGCTTGTTATAGTTCCAACTCAGAATGCAATGGTTCCCATACAGTGTGCGTTAACCACAGGTGTTATTGTGAACCCAATTACATATACAACAACCAAACACTGAAGTGCGAGAAATACGATTGCAATACAAATAGTACCACAAAAAGGTATTGCTATCCAAACCATGATATTAACAGACATTGCGATTCACATAAAGGATGTGTTTGTGATTTTGGACATTACGAAGACTTAACCAATGGCGACATATGCGTACGTTCTCTCTCTCTCTCTCTCTCTATCTATCTATCTATCTATCTCTCTATCTATTTATCTTTCTTTCTTTCTTATTTATTTGTAGTTAGCATTTAACTTAACATCCTATTATATTGACTAATTTATTAGTTATAAATTATTAAAATAATACTAATTAAATGAATTATTACCTGATATACAGAAATATAATGGTTACATAACGTATTACTATGATGAATCGTGGGATGGCTTTTGGTATTGGGCGTGGATTTTCATAGTCATCCCGATTATCGCCTGCACTTGTATTGGGATATGTGTGCGAAGGCGTCGAGATCTGTCCCGTCGGTCACACCAGCAGTTCATGATATCTCAACCCCAGTATATGACGAGCAACGGTCCGGTCCCTCATTGCGATCCCTATTTCTTCCCCACCGCTAATGGTGTGGAAAAGCAGCCCAAGTGGTGATCAAAAGACTTAATATTATCTATTTATAATACTAATTAAATTATTGTTTTAATTTAATGATTATATTTTACTTAATTTATTGTAAAACGTGCAATACTGCTTGTAATTTATTAATAAAAATTGACAATCTGTTAAGTAATGAGTTATGTTTGACTCATATTATCTATGTTAACTATTATGCATTGTATTGTTTAAATGTCGTTGACTATAGTGAATGAATTATAGTCAATATATTCAGTAATTAAAACAATTATGAAAATATTTACTCTATTTCAACATATTGAGGTAAATTTAGGTGATTGAAACAATAGTACTGTACATGTAATGTAAATTATCAGTATATTATTTATAAACTAAAATATTTCATTTTATAAATGTTTAAATTATTGAAACAAATTTTATTATAGTAAACAATATTTTTAAACCATAATTGATTTAATTTTAAATTACATACCATTTAATACAATACGTGTAATGTACAATATTATAATATTTTTATTAATTTTTCCAGGTATACTTATTTAAAAAGTAGTAAATTATGAATCATACTTATTTGTCCATTATCTGAAATAACCTTTACGCTTATCAGATACCGTATGAGAGCATTAATTGAGTTTAAAAGTATATAATATTATTTAAGGATTTATTTGTTACACAACAAACAATTCTCTCCTCAAATATGGAGTCGAGAATATTAACAATTATTATATTTTTAAATATTTATGCAATTGTTTTGAGTGACAATTCAGACAAAACTCAATCAAACAGTACAGTAAAAGAGGATAAATTAAAGTATGGTCATTATCCAACTGATAATAAGACCCAACAATCAACGTGCTATTATAACTCAGACTGCAATGATGGGAACCATCAGGGAACTTCCCATACAGTGTGCGTTAACTTCGGGTGTTATTGTGAACCCAATTACATATACAACAACCAAACACTGAAGTGCGAGAAATACGATTGCAATACAAATAGTACCACAAAAAAGTATTGCTATCCAAACCATGATATTAACAGACATTGCGATTCACATAAAGGATGTGTTTGTGATTATGCATATTATGAAGACTTTAACAATGGCAACAAATGCGTACGTCTTCTTCTTCTTCTTCTTCTCTCTCTCTCTCTCTCTCTCTCTCTCTCTCTCTCTCTTTCTCTTTTTTTTNCTCTCTCTCTCTCTCTCTCTCTCTCTCTCTCTCTCTCTCATTATTTTAACTAGCTTAAAGTTATATTATAGTAAAACAGTTATATTATACATTTACAGGCATACGATTTTGACAATTATTACACCTATTCCTACAATGGCTTCTGGTATTGGGCGTGGATTTTCATAATTGTGCCGATCATTGTCTGCACTTGTATTGGGATATGTGTGCGAAGACGCCGAGAGTTGGCCCGTCAATCGCACCCGCAGTTTATCATAACTCAACCCCAGTATATGACGGCCAACGGTCCACCCCTTTATGATCCGCCGCCCAATTACTTCATGACTACCGCTACTGGTGTCCAACAACAGCCCAAGTGGTGATCCCATGGCTTAATATCTTACTATTTAAAGTAATTTATATAATGAAAGTTCTGCTTAAATTTCAAATATTATAATTTGTTAAATCATAAGCGTTCTGGTATTTTATACAATAGTAAGTTTTAAAATTAATATGTATTAAAATTCATGCTACCAATTTTTAATATGTTATTAAGGATAATAAATATTATTTTTCAATTTAAAGTTGTATCTCACAAAAAATTGTAAAAACATTTTTTGCATTGAATTTTCTATTGTACTATACTGTTCTATTGTATGTATAAGATATTTAGTACAATAATTTTATATACATATAAAGTTTTAGTTTTAGCTTTAGTTATATTATGCTCATTGTTAATTATATCAGAAATAACTGAATTATGAGATTATATAATTACTTCAAATGTATGAAATCACTGCAAATTATTTCAGGTAAATGACAATACTATTATACATGTTCAATTTAATTATTATCATAATAATACATAAATCCCATCAGGTTATTATTTTAATATGATAATAATTTAATAAAATTTAATACTTTTGGTTGTTACACCCATTATGAATGTTACTTTAATTTATTAACATACAATTACAATATCTAATAAAGAGAGATAATTGTTTTATTTAATAATTAATAAACTATCTAAAAAGAAGGTAAATAAGGGTAATATTATTAAACATTTTGTTAACAAAAAAATAATATCAATTATTGGTTGCCTTAGAGTAGTCTTATTATCGCATCAATAGGTAAACACTCAAAACATAAAGTTTTACAAACAATTAATTAATCAATTATTAATACTGTCTATACATTTACATCAATAATAGATTTTTATATTACGAGCACTTATTATAAGTAGTCTATAGTCTTGTAATTACTAAAATAATTTAAGACCAAAAATGTATATCAAAACCATATTAATAACAATAACGACAACATTACTGACAGCATGTGTTGAGCCAAAAGTGGCGCCGACGAGACTCGGAGACGACCAGAAGGTGCAGGACTACTGTTCCCTCACCACCACCTGCGAGGACAACCTAACCGTGTGTATCGATCACTCCTGTTATTGCGGACCCAATTACTACTATAACAAAGCCGACGACGAGTGTCTGTATTACGATTGTTCAAAGAGTGACAGAAGTGTCTGTCCGTCTTTTCACGACATCTCCCGACTGTGTGTTAGCGGTCAGTGTGTTTGCGACGACGAGACTGAACCCGATGTTAAAAATGGGGGCAAATGTTTGCCCAAGAGGTCCGGTTCGGGTAATGGTGGCGATGGTATCAGTGTCTGGGCCTGGGTTTGGGTCGTTATTATAATCCCCACTATTATTGGTGTGAGTCTTGTTTGGTATGTGAGACTCAGACGTCGGGCTAAACAAAAGGCCAATAAGTCAACTGCGCTCACAGTTTCAAAACATTAAATTCTGTATTTTAATATTAATGTTTTGTATCATGTTTTTCTAATTTTTTAATTAATTGCTACTTTATTAACATTAAATTATTTTGTATTAATAAATGATAACTCAATTATTTAATCAAAACAATTAATACAAGAGTTTTGCTAACAATAGTACTTGAGATTCAATGTTGAGTTCCGGGAGATGTAATGAAAGGGTGATTTTGGTATTTCAATATTGGTAGAAATTTTATATGCTTTCATATTATAGGAATTAATGAAAGTATATGTTATGTGACTATTACGGTATTTGGTGTCTATTATTATCGCTAAAACTATTCAAAATCAGAATAAAACTATCATTCCTTCAAAATATATTCATAAAATGGATATTATTTGTAAATTTTAATCAAATAAAAGGTTTTATGCGATGTTTATATTTATTGCATTCCCCGAAATCATAGCTTCAATATGTAATAAAGGTTTGAGAATAAAGCATAAATGTGAAATATAAAATTTTTATTATGTATTTGAAGTTTTTAAAATAAAAGCATAAGTTTTGCAAAAGAATATTGTTTTTGTGAATATCAGAGCTATTATTCACTTAAATATTCATACATAATGTAAAGTATGTTTATTTTTGTGGAAAATTTACAAATTGTTTTATGGAAACTACAATAAAACTGTATAAATATTTATTTAATCTAGCTATTTTTAGATTATATTTATTTTAATAATGAAATAATTAATTATATGGTTTTTATTCAATCAAAATTCTGTCCATAGATTAGAATCTAATAATTAGATAAATAAATTGAATAACCTGTCAGGTGACCTTTGGCATCAAGGTTATTTTCAATTATTAAAAATTTATATAATTAAATTGATATGATTTAAAATGGTCACTGACTTTAAACATGGTTTGAATAAATAAATTAATATTTTGATTAAATGAACTGTTCATTTATTTGTCGATAAAAACCAAATATGGTTAAACTATCAATATTTTATACTCTGCTTTACTTGATTACATTGAATATATTATCCTATTGTGAATGCTTAAAAATTAAAACAATTAATTTCAGTTCATATAAAAACTATTGTAGTTTTTAATAAATGATTAGTTTAGGCATTGAATTGAAAATGTTTTTCATAATTATATTTTGTTTGTCAAATGTTTTAACTCTATTTGCATTAAACATTAATCTAAATGCTGTAAATATTAGCGAAGGAGTCAATGGATATCTGGACACCTGTAGCCCAAGTCAACCCTGTAATCCCAGTGCTGGCTATGTCTGCGTTAACGGCGTCTGCAGGTGTAGAGCCAACTATCGGTACAATGGCTTTAACTGTCAGTTCTTCTCGTGCAACAGTCAATTGGACTGTTAGTCCTACGACCCCAACAGGTATTGCTCGGCCACCGGTGCCTGTCTTTGCAAAGAGCCCTACGAGCCCAAAGTGGACGGCGGATTGTGTGACACCGATTACCCCACATATTGTGTTAAAAACCAGCCCTGTTTGATACCCAATCAGGTGTGTGTGGACAATAGGTGTCGGTGCGCTCCCAACTTTAAATGGTCGCCAACACAGGGACAGTGCAATCAATTGTTTTGCAACTCATTCATCGATTGCGACAATAACTGGGATCCGATGCGACGGTGCGATAGCGGCCGTTGTCTTTGTTGGGATAGTGGCTATCAGGAGGACTCGGCTAATGGCGGTAAATGTGTGCCCTCTGAGGGCTCAAACATCTGGGACTGGCTATGGGTTGTGATTGTAGTCCCAATTTGTGTGGTCGTTATAATTGTTGTAATTATTTATTATAAAAAGTATATAAAAGTACGACAATCCGAAAGAATGCCTGAAGGTTAAATTTATAGACTTATTCCCTTTAAAATTCACAATTTTAATTATTAATACAAGATAGATTAACTAACCAAGTTAAAATTACTATTTTTAAATAAAAATGTTTACTTATTTAATTATTTAAAAATATTGTTATAAATAAATAAAATACTATTTGAAATAAATTCACTTACATTGAGCTTCTATTATGTATTGAATGTTGAATTGTATTCATGTACACAACATGTATTACACAACACATCTTCTATAGGATTTTTTGACCACATTTACGACAAACTTTTTAAAACAAAAGTTTGTTTTCAATTATTTCAATAAAATCTCTCTCTCTCTCTCTCTCTCTCTCTCTCTCTC